AGTAGCCAATCCCCTTTTTGCCTCTTCTACCTTCTGGACCATGAAATTGTCTGCAAGGCAAGCGAGGAATTTGTTAGACCTTGTACTCTTGGCCGAGTTTGTTTTCCAGCAAATATCGGGATAGTTGAAATCGCCCATGACTACTACATCTCTTCTCTGTGCCTGTTTGGTCAACTGTTGGCAGAAGACTTCATCAAGTTCTTCCTCCTGGCTTGGGGGTCTGTAGTAGACGCCTACAACGACATCTTTTTGAGTCCCAGTTCCCTTGATTCTTATCCAGATGATTTCAAGCTGGTTTCCCAGATTGCTGTCTTGAATCTCTTCTGCAGCATAAGAGTTTTTGACATATAAGGCTCCTCCGCCTCCTCTCCCCTTTGTTCGGTTTCTGTGAAAGAGGTTATACCCCTCGATATCTACATTCCAGCGATAGGAGTCATCCCACCAGGTTTCAGTGATCCCTATGATATCATATTTGTGGTGTTGTGCTAAAAGTTGGAGTTCATCTTGTTTATTTCCCATGCTCTGTGCATTAGTGTAAAGACATGTGAGCCCCTGGGATCTTCCCTTGAGCTGTTTAATTGGGATTATTGTGCTTTTGGTACTTGGTCCTTGTTGTGTTTGTGCAGCCCTCCGTTTAGCCTTCTGGCGATTCCCAGACATTATGGGTAAAGTAGTGTTCGCAAGGCTGTTGTCCCCCTCCCCCGTTGGACCTAGTTTAAAGTGCGTCTAATGAGGTTTGCGAGTCTGTGAGCAAAAAGGTGTTTTCCTACTTGTGTGAGATGCACACCATCCAAGGATGATAAAATCATTTCATCCTGGCATCCCCTGGGCAACATCCTTGCAGGTGGCCAATTCTCTTACACCAGAAGTGAATTGCAGTTTCTCAAGTCACTCCTGACATGACCCCCCCCCCAAAAAAAAACTTCATACCATAAGACCCTAAAGAAGTACAAAGCAAGTACACGACTCCATCTGTTAATGGACTGAGACTCCTATCAGACCTAGAGGACACTGCCTGTGATCAGAGATGGTGGGACTAACTTTGATTTGAATTGAAGGCTCCAGGGCTACTGAAGCATAGCCAGTCTGATGGATTATGAGAACTGTTGTCCCACAAATGAGCTATTCAATGCTCTCACAGGGAGAGATATCTAGACCACAAATGAAAATAGTTGTGAATCCGTTTTATTGATAACACATATAACATGATTTTCCTGCTTCTTGGCAGGGAGTTGGATTGGATGGCCCACAAGTTCTCTTCCAACTCTATGACTCTATAATAGATTGTAGACTGAGAACTGGGAAGCCCTGGCCCTTGAGCACTCCAGCTGGAGGTCAGCTGTGACCAGCAGTGCTGTAGAATTTGAAGAGGCACGAATGGAGGGCGAAAGAGAGAAACGTGCCAAGAGGAAGGCGCGTCAAGCCAACCCCAACTGGGACCGCCTTCCACCTGGAAACCAATGCCCTCACTGCAGGAGAAGATGCAGATCAAGAATTGAGCTTCACAGTTACCTACGGACCCACCGACAGAACACCGACCTTGGAGGACCATTATCCTCAGACTATGAGGGATCGCCTAAGTAAGTAAGTAGAGTTAGCATGGTGTAGTGGTTTGAGCTGGAGCTGAGGGTTCGAATTCCTGCTTGGCCATGGAAACCCACTAGATGACCTTGGGTAAGTCACACTCTCTCAAACTCATAAAAGCAAGCCCCCACTCATAAAATCTTTCCAACAGAACCCTGTGGTAGGTTCACCTTAGGGTGACTGATCAGTCAGAACTGAGTTGAAGACACAACAACAATGACAACAACAACAACAGCAACAACAGACTGGTATCCACTGCCCTCCAGTTATATCCACTACACTATAATGCATTTTCTCTTTACCGTTAGCAGGCAATACAACAGAATTGCTCTCATGCTCCAAACCTGGTAGAAAATGCAATAATAATTACTCACAAAAATGATGTTCAGTGCACCCTTATGTGGTACATTCAACAAAAGGAATAGATCAGTCCTGTGATAAGAGCGAGTCCTGACAATTTCCCAGAAGATTCAAG